GGTTTTAAGGTTTAGGGTTTATGGTTTAAAGGTTGGTGCTCAAGGGGGAGTGAATAGGCATTGTAATAAGGAAAAATCGGTATTGCTAGCTTCTACGGGAAAGTTCGGTGCAAAAGAAGGCCCTCTGTGTGCATATACAACTACACGCACATATGTAGAGGCATGTGTATTTATACACACATAATTTTGCAGCGATATAGGTCACTACTATTTTCTAAGGATATGTATAGGGCCCAACCTGCCTCTCGGTTTCCGCTGAGAAGTCAGCCCGCGACATGGAGAGTGGACCAGCGCCCGATGATGTCCCAACAGACTCCGGGGGGTCCGGCTCTCCACTTACCGGCTCTGCTGAAACCTGGGGAAATGTGTGTGTGTGTGTGTGTGCATTCCTAGATATATATATATATGTATAAATACATATGTAGTTATAGACATGTACACACAAAGGGTGCCTGCTTTATCAAGGACAATTGCAGTACAAAAGAAAGCCGGGAAAGCATACAAAAAGTACCAAAGCATAACTATTGAGAACTTAGCTGCTTGTTCCAGGTCATCTTCGTTTGTCTCCACACAGTCTTGGTTGGCAGCCTGCTCGCGCTCTGTCCGGCGCTTGCCGCGACGTTGCTTCCGAGGTTTGCTGCTTGCCGTTTCCGTGGATGGGGCTGCTGTTGCTGCAGGGGCGGCAGCCTCAAAACAGAAACTCGCAAGCAAGCACGCTAGAAACGTATATGGTAATTTCCCAAAATAAGGGGACCCGAATGTAGACCCCAAACATAATCCTTCTTATGGGGACCCCAAAAAGGTACCCCTAGCTTTGGGAATCCCCTACATACTGCTAGGACCCTTGAGGACAAACAACAGTCGTGCCACCCCAAAAGAAACAAAGAAACATACAGCAGTTTCCATGTTCTTTTCCTCTATCCCTAAAGAAATATACATACTATATATGTCTATCTATATCTGTATACATATATATATATGTGTGTCTATATATATAACTCTATATATATACATATATATATATACACCCTATTGTACCTGGTTAGAGCCTCCTGAGACTCTGAGCTGTCGGTCAGAGCCGCGAAAACCGAAGCCTGACACTGAACTTGTCTCACCGGTGCTTGAGGGATATGTGTGTTGTAGGGTTATGTAGGGATGATAAAGGGATTATAGAGGTATAGGGATTGTGGTTAAAAGGTTCAATGATAGGGTCATGTAGCGATCATGAACGGCTTGTGTGATAATAAAGGTTTGCGTAGGGATTGTGGATAACAGGGGGAGAGTTGGGGAGCAGATCTCTATAACTATCCTTGCACAATGCCCATAACATGCTAGACACCCAGCTAGTAACTGTATTCAATCACCCACTCAAACCACCAGTCAGTCATAGATGAGCGTCAGAGGTACTATTTGCAAAGCATCCATTTCCTTTTCCTGGTTCTTCTCCATGTGATCTTCCATTATTGGTAAGGCGCCTGAACCCCATTAACCCTAAACGATTTAATCTTTTCATGTTCTTTTCCATGCTGGCTATGTATGCTTTAAAACCCTAAACCCTTTTGCAGGCACCCTATTCAGCCCACTGGCCTTCCTGACATCTCCATCATCTTCGTCATCCTCGGACTCTGCCGACGCCTAAAGGAATATACAGCGGGGCTGGAGGTCATGCAGTACACTAAATACCGCGTCAATACAATGTGGACCGCCATCTCCGCCTCCCCCGTTTAGGGCTTAGGGTTTGAGTTTTAAGGTTTAGGGTTTAGCTAAGAATCAACCTTTCCAACAAGTTACCATTGTAAAGGGAGAGGGACAACAAGAGAGAGCGAGAGACAAAGAGAGTATCCACTATTTGCCGCGGGTGGTCGGATGCGGGTTTATGCTCACCCTGTTCTACTGTTCCAATAGTAGATTCCATTTTCTTTTCGACTATCCCTATATAACTCCAATATCTACAGAACGTACTATAATATGCTATAATATGCTAGAAAATACTGAAATATGCTACAATATATTCTAGCATATTATAATCTACTATACTATATTATAGTATACTATGTGCGGATATACTACAGTATCGTATAGAGCCGGCCTGATCTTCTTGGGGGGAGCTCTGCAGTTCCCGGAGCTTTCGCACTTGTCGGCTCGACATGGCGAAAAGCCAGTTTTTTTTGGGGGGGAGGGGTGGGGGAGTGGTTGTGTGGTGGTGTGGTATTATAATGTTTAGGGATTAGGGTTTAGGGATTAGGGTTTAGATGTTGGGGTTGTATAGGGGTTAGATAGGGATAATGGAAAACAACATGGAAACTAGTATAGTAGAACAGGAGACATAGCTGGGCTTTAGCATCTTGCAGAACACAAGTGTAATCTATAACAGGAAGCATGAGTTCAGCAAAAGGGAGTACGGATGTCTTCCTACCAAGGTTTCTTCAGTGGGCATCACGCTGATTTGCAAATTTGCCCGAGGAAGCAGCTGCGATTCAGACTCTTTGAAGGCTATGCGTATGGGTTCTCGAGTCGGCATGAGGTGCAAGGAATGTGCGAGAATGCTATCATGCTTCTCGAGCCCAGAATATGGGGTAATATAGGGATAATATGGGGGTTATGCTGGGATAATGGAAAAGAGAATGGCAACTACTATATTATGATAGGGGATATATTGGGTTGTATTGAGCGGCTTCAAATGCATTGCACCAAAGCACTAGTCTGCAAGTTGACCAGCTTGTTCGCATCTTGTTTCAAACACGCCCTCATTCGTCATCCACCCGCAGGAAGTCGACATCCATCTCGACAACAGCCAATCCTGCCGAAGTAGGTGACTATGACTATGATACTTCCCACGGTTATTGCCATTATTAGCATTATTGCTATTCTTAGCACTACCATTACAATTTCTATGACTTTTTACTATTACTATTACTACTACTATTGCTATTACTGTTACTATTACTATTCGTATTATTATTGCTATTACTATTACTATCACTATTACTATTACTGTTATTACCCCTCAAAGGCAGCAAAGAGTGTCGCTGAAGCGGGAAGGGCCAGCCTACGAAGCGCGGCTGCACCGTGCAAACGACCGCCACCTCGGGCTCACTGACCTCAGGGACCATAATAATTAGTAGTAGTAGTAGTAGTAGTAGCAGTAGTAGTAGTAGTACTTGTAATAATTGTAGTAGTAATGATAATGATGGTAATAGTGGTAATAATTGTAGTAGTAATAGTGGTAATGGTGGTAATAATCGCCCTAAACCCTAAACCCAATGATACTGATAATGATAGTAACAACAATAATAACAAGAAGAAGAATAGAGCAGGTTGTCCATGGGAGGCCCAGCTACCTACATGGTAGATTGGTGGTATAGTTTGGGGCTACGATATGGGAGCTAACCCAATATAAACTACATAGCGAACTGAGCTTCATGGGGAAGACAGAAGAGCTGCTGTAAGCACTAGGCCAGCCCTAAACCCTGAATCCCCACAACCCTAAACTCTGAATCCTAAACCTCGCGACCCTCAACCCACCACTCTAGATCCCAACGCCCATCGACCACAACTTCTCCCTCTCATTTCCTCTACTCATAAACCCCAAGCCCCAAAACCCCATTCCCCTCAACGAACTCCCCGAACCCATCAAGGTCACAAAGGCCCTGGCACTTTGGCAATCTGCCCCCAGGTGCTGTTTGCATGCTTCCATTGCATCCTCCAGTTTAGGGTTTAGGGTTCAGAGTTTAGGGTTTAGGGTTTAGGGTTCAGGGTTTAGGGTCATCTGAGCCATCATCTGAACTCCTTAAGGGGGGGCTTCTAGGGGATTACATAGGGGACAATTAAGGGGGGATACTAGGAGGTTAGGCTATGGCTCAT